TAAATACTGAAATATATTTAGAGGGTATTTTGGCACATCTTAATATTGCATATTTGTACCATTAGTTATCTGGATTTTCTTGCACTGCATTTATATTTCCTGATCTTTTAATCTTTTTATTTTTATGGTACCTGTCAGCATAGTCATCAGCTAAGTTTAAGAACAGAACAGTTTCTCAGAGAAGGGAACTTTACTGTTCCAGCCTTCTCAGCAGGCCTATTTACCTGTCTCAGCTACTGGAGATTTCATTTTTTCCAGCTAGTTGCCACGTTTTACTGAGAATTATGATTAATCAAAGGCTGAGTCCCAAGGACATGTTATAGATGTTATGGATTAAAAAAAAAAGGGGGGGGGGGGGACAGTTTTCCATGGTGCAGCAGATGACAAACTGAGCGTGAGAAGGTCCTGAATTCCAGCCTGATGTGACTCCTTGCTATTCCTCTTTTTTGTTCTCATGACTTCGTATCTTACCATTTCTGCATTTTACATGAATGACATTAGGATTTTAAGCTGAGAAAACAAGGTGTGTGATGCTTATGAATCAGCAGATGGCACTACATGCCCGTGAAGCTGTGTAACCGCAGATTAACATGCAGACTGACATACTGGTGAAGTTAGAAGCTGCTACTCCAAGGCTTAGAGAGCTTAGCTGAGGGGGTATCTGTGCTCACTCACCGGTGCAGGGATTGCATCACGTGGTCTTATTTCCTACACTGAAACCTGGCTATATTCATGTTCAGCTCTAAAAACTTCACGGATCGTTGGCATGAGGGGCTGCAAGTCATGATGTGGAATACCGCTTGGGTACTGCCTGGGTACGCAATGTTTAGGGGAGCACAAAGTGGTCTTGTGCCTGCAAAACCAGTCTTTCTTCTGAGATCTCAATGTGCAGTGAGATACTGATGACACTTTCTGTCAGAGGATGTCCTTTCTCCCCTAACCATTCTCTCACTCCCACTCTCCCAGGAGGAGGTGTGTGGGACCCGTCCCTGTGACCTCTCAGGTGCTGGGGCTGATACTCAAGGGGCTGCTGGTACTCAGTTACCATGCTGTATATTTTCCCAGCTCTGTAGTAGTAAGCCATTTCTAGTTATGTTATCTGTTTGCCCTGAGGCAGAGCTGATGTCTGTAGAGAATTTATTTCCATACCACTTGGATTACATGGGTCTAGTGTAACTAAGCCAAACACTGGTTGACGTGACATTCTTCAAAACAGATAAATGAGAAAAATCTTTCAGGAATTGTAATATTTGTGACATCTTACATTGGATTCCTCATTTCCCTGTTTGTTTATTCCTGAGACAGCTAGGTTACTAGAATTTGCTCCCTATTGTTTCAGCTCTTTTAGCATGCTTTAGCTCATACTGCGGCAACAATCTTCTTAAGCAGCAAGTGACCTGTGCAATAGCGGGTAGACCTCCAGCTGCCAGTGCTGGTGTTCTGCTTTTGGAAGCATTGCACGTGGCATTATGAATCAGTTTCTAAAAACTATATATGCCTTCTATTAAATGCCACCGAGTGCACAAAAAGTATTGGCATTAGGATGTTTTATCAAAATGTTTAGATGGGATGGTTATTATTACGGTTTATATACTGCTCTGATTTGGGTATTAAAAACATTAGAAGAGTAAATGTTTTGTGCATTTTTGAGCATATTTTTCATCCACATGTTTTGTTTTTCATTAGAGATTATGCAGCACCAATAATTTTGGAGACTGTTATTCCCAGCAATATGATAGAAAATGGCAAATTTTGCCTAAGTATCAAAAAGCTTGTTGTACCTGCAAAAGTACAAATTCATCAGCAAAGCTGAAATGTTTTGTTTTCTCGGAAATTACTCAGAAATATGTTGTCTTTCTTTGGTTGTGTTCTTTTTGTTTCTGTATAGATCGTAGTCTTACACTCTCAGACTGAGTTCTGCCTGGCAGCTCCTGGAGTTTTGTCTACATAGGAAATAAGGATCAGGCCTTACATAATGTCTTAGGAGCTCTTAAATGTAACATTCACAGGAGACTCCCTTGCTTTAGTGATTATTTTTGTTTTTTCCAGGTTGAGATTTGTTCTTGTGCTTTATGAGTATTGTTGCCCCAGATTTCTGCACAAGAGACATACCCAAGTTTTCCCTTTCAGCAGTTCAAATGCAGTGAAATAGAAGAATACTAAAACAAAGATGTGTTTTATGTGTCTCTTAGTCGTGCACTCATGAAAAAACACCACAGGGAATTCATAAGACTTGAGTTAACTCAGAGGGGATAACTCAGGTAGGATTGCCTCTGGCAGAGCAGGAAGCTCAGAACAAAATCAATAATTGGAATAACCCATTCTGATGCTGTCCTGGTTTTTGTGGGCACAGCAGTATACATGTTTTATAAATCTGAATCTGGGAAATGCTAGGTATTAAAAACCAAACCAATATACTCTTTCTTTGGAATACCTATGCATGTTTGTATGCGTGTGAAGGGTAGCTTCAGTGCTCAGAACAAGGCACAGCAAAACTGACTTCTGGCTGCTATGAAATCTGTATGTGCCCAAAAAAGCTCATTGGTAGTTGGTGTTGGTAATTACCAACATGGTTCAGATTTTACTCATTGGGGTAGGAGGTTATTTAGTCTGTGACCTATTGCTCTTTCAAAGCCCCTTGACAGTAGACCATGAAGATGTATCTCAGTTCAAATTATTTTCATTTTAAGAGATTCTGTAATAGTACCAAAATGTCTATTTCAGGACCAAGTAAAGGATAAACTTGCTGCGGTTCATGATCTCCATCTATAGGCTTGACTCCAATAAGATGTATTTTCATATGGCTGAGCACAAGAGCTGTATAGGTACACTTTGTTCCATGTTGAATGAAAGCAAACCTTTCCTGACATTTTCTGCAGTATTTCTGAACATGTGCTGTAATGTGCATTCCAAGATTGGAAATGCAAGGTTTTCAGCCTTGGTACCTCTGCTTCACGGAGTGACTGGGGATCAAATCCAACTATGATGAAACTGCGGATTGAAAACTTTTTAAAAATTGACATTTTGGCATGTTACAAACCATAATCTCTCCTCAAAAGCACTGCAAAATGGAATTGTTGTTTTGCAGCTACTTCTTCACATGTTCTGCAGAATTAATTCCTTTGTTCCTTCACTTTGCTTTCTTTCAAACTTTCATTACCTTAGTGTTTCTTACAAGAATTTCATTACAGTCTCACGGCCTTACAAAGACTACGTGAAAAAAAAAAGTTTCTTCTTCATTTACTCTAACTTGCTGTGTTTTTGTTTGTTTGTTTGGTTGGTTTGTTTTGTTTTGTAAACTAGTTTCTAAGTTGCTCTTACTCTTATCCCAAGGTTTCATTTCTGGAATTTCTGCTTTTTAAGTTTCTCTCTCTTTGAATTAGAAGTCCTCAAAATTATAAGTCAGCATTTTATAAGGTAGTGTACATTTTTGTTATTTCCAGACCAAGTTTTTAGTCTCTCAAGATCTTTTTGTGCCATTTTACTCTCTCTTCTGGTGTTTGCAACACCTGCAGGTTTGAATAATGTACTTTCTGTCCCTTCTTTTACATTATTAATTAAGTGGCTAAATCAAACCAAGCCTGATGCTTCTTCATGTAAATGGTATTTGTATACTTATCTTCAGTGAGACAGTGTTGGTTTTTTTTTGTTCTAACCTGGCTCCAAATATTTAATCCTGATGCAGCATTTCTTCTGAAGCCAGAGTGATCAGTTGGTGTGGCACTGTATCAATATCTATTAAAAGTTAATAATTCTACCAATTGGCATTCATACTGATGCAGTGCCCCCTTAAATAGGTAATTTAAGTTTTGAAAAATCAACGATGGAACACAATATGGCCTTTATTGGTCATCAATTTTATGCAGTCCAGAATGTGTTGTGAAGAAATGAGTAGCCATACAATGCTAATGTGCATTTAATTGTGATTTTTTATACCTATTATGTTGCCATACATATAGTAAGCCAAGGAAATCCCTTGCAAATAAAAAAGCTTTACAAATTAACTGTTGTCTTTTGCCCTTAATTAAACTGGACTTTCTGGACTGATAGTAGTGGCTGCATTTATTAAATGTATTAAAACCTAACTATTAATTATATAATGATGAAATTAGGATATTCATATTGGCCAGACTGTCATTATCGGGAATGTATGGCCAGAGGTATGGTTGTTGAATGGGAGAAATAGTGATCATTACTAAATACTACATTTTCTATAGGGCTGGGGATGTGTATGTTAGCTGGAAAGAGTTTGTTCCAGGAAGGTCTCTGAGCTATGATTTTAGTGTATAATAAAGCTCATCACAGCTGCTTTGGTCTGATTTTGAAAGAAAAAAAAAAAAAGTCACTAAATGCAATTACCAATTAAGTTTTTTCATGAACATTTAGGAAAATATGTAACATATGTTTCTTGTTTTCAGGAAAAAAATAGCTGTTTTTTCATCTCAGTTGAGCAATACTGTTCTGTCTCATTTTTTCCTCCGATATTAGTGACTCTCCTGCAGGATATTAGTTTTATTGCCCAGAAGTACACAATTTAAAACTTTCAAGATACAAGGCACTACCAGTTTTGCACACAACTGACTTAACTGTGTGTCAAGCTTAAGTTGCACACACACAATCCCAGAACGGCTGAGGTGGGAAGGGAGGCCACCTACTCCATCCCCTGCTCAAGCAGGCCACCCAGAGCAGGCTGCCCAGGACCATGTCCAGGCAGCTTTTGGAGATCTCCAAGGTTACACAACCTCCCTAGATAACCTGGGAGATTGCTCCATGACCTGCACGGCACAGAAGTGCTGCCTGGTGTTCAGATGGAGCCTCCTGTGGCTCAGTGTGGGCCCACAGACATCATCTGTCAGAAGCCATTACATGTATGGATTCAATTTTTTCTTTCTTCTAGTCAGAACTTAACCATTTGGTGTGGTTTCCCGCACGTAGAAACTATCAGTATGATGATTGTATTTTATTATTTATTTATTTATTTATTTATTTTCATCTTGTAGGGTAAGTCTTACCCCTTCAAAGGTGCATTCCCTCCTCTGTGGAATCCTTTGGCCTACCTGGACTACAACAACCTGTGGAGGACCATGGATGAAATGGGAAAGGAGGTATGGCAGGAGGAATTGCAGCTGACCATTTCAGCTCAGCTTTGTTTCAGTATGAAGCAGATCAGTGGGGCAGAGTGCAGATGGGACTAGGATGTAGATAGGCAAAGCTGGTCTAGCTTGAACATGCCTAGCTCTTGCCATGAACAGTATTAAAACATGTAATTTGGTATACATTGGTAGTCAGAGCACATGTGTAAATGGCATCCTGGCATTCTCATTCTGAAAGCCATGCTGATAAGCCTGTCTGCAGTCCTACCTCTTTTTTTTTTTTTTTAATTTTATTTTAATGAGCATCAGGGTTTATGCTTGTGATTTTAGCATTATGCCTGGCAATTGAGTAAGCAGCATTTTAAGAGGCTTGTAGGCCTGTAAAATATGTCCTTCTCCACCCTCAAATTCAACCCAACCATTTTAGTTTGTTACCATTAGTGCATATTTTCCATTGAGCTACAAGATTTTAAAAAGGGTGGCTGTTACTGGCACAGATGAACAAGAGAGCTATAGAACAACCCAGAACCATTCCTCAGCACTGTGTTTTATCTTTGTAGCTCTTAACTCTAAAATTATTCTCTATTCTTATATCTAAAAATACATGTATGAAAAAGAACAATCCTTAAAAGCATCTTCTGTTAAGTTCACTGTACTACCTGTCAGGAATTTGCAGGCAGAGTTATCATGTAAAGATGAGATTATGTCTGCAGTGTTGCAGATACTGAGGATAAAGCATAAATTCTGTTCGCTGCCTCTTGTGTTACATATTTCTCTTTCATGCAGTCATTCAGCTTCTAATGTTAATTCTCTCCTTTTTTTCTTTGCTTGAACTTTTAATTCTAACCCAAAGAGGTAACTATTTCTTATGAAAATAACACATTCAGAATGAGTTATTAAAAAAAAATATTAAAACACAATATCAAGGTTATTTTGACAATAGACCTAAACAACAGTCCAGACTTCTCATTTTAACCCAAAATCAACCAGCTCGTTTTGTTGTCCTTTTCTTATGCCACTCATTCATTTGCTGATGAATACAATTTTATGTTACCTTAGATTCCTAATGAAGCTCCATGGAAGGCTCCACATGCAGAAGAATGGGACAAAATGACTATGCAAGATTTCATAGACAAAATTTGCTGGACAAAGTAAGAAACTCTTTAATATGGAAGTAGATATAAAAGCTTATATTTATATACCTTAGAGCTCCACGTAGACATTGCTACTTGGCAAACAGGTATAATTACCACTAGGATACAGCTTTTTGAAGAAATGTGATGAGAAAATATTTTTACAGTAGAACACAACACCTATCAGCACACACAGTAGTTTCTGTTACATATCCATAACTTTTTAGACTAATACAAAGATATAAGGAAAATGGGTTTTGTGGGAGAGGTTACTTCTGAATACTCGGGTAATACCTTCATCTGTTACATATTACTATGTGTTTAAGTATTCAAGGAAAAATGCTCTGGCTACAGAAGGTTTTTGAATTATATTTTTGATGGAACAGCATACATCTATTCTGTAATGGACCAGCTGATTTTTCCAAAGTACTATAACATTTGTCTTGAAATGGCAATAAATCACTCTAACATCCATTGTTCTATTGTTTAACTGCTGCACTATATACCACCCAGGGAAACTGAGAATGCTTCCTGTTTTTATGTATACATCAAAGCAATTTTTCTTTACTTGCCATTCAAGAGCAGTTTGATTGGTTTTCTTCACACTGAAGCAAAAAAAACATGAATTCAGCCTTGCTGTAAAGCAGATTGATTTCTACAGCAACAGTGTTAGAATTTCTAAGGATCAAACACCCTGCTGCAGGGAGCAGGCACAACCTTAGTGCAAAAGCCTGACAGCACCCTCTCAGAATGACACTGCCAGCGATATTGGGTGGCATGTTTATGGTTTCAGCCAGCCTTTAGAGAGGAACATGGGCATTGCTAATGAACAGGAGGCTCTTGTGCAAAAGCATTCAGTCTTCTGGTCATTTTGCTTTCATTTGCAACAAAAGTTATAGCTGTACACAAACATTTCTCATTTATGCCACCATGCATATTCAGTGAAATGAAATAGAAATGTATACTGTCCATCCTGCTGGCCTTTTTAACCTCTGATTTGGTAAGGAACTATGCGGGTTAGCAGAACACTGCACGCTGGTAGCTATTCAATATCCAATAGGTCACAGGACTACAGTCATATTTTTTCAGACTCTCTGATGGAATAAGACTTGACATTTTACCTCAATATTGGCATAACTGTCAGCCTCCCTTAATTCCAAGATGCTTTTCAGATTTCATATGTGCATCTCGGCTTGATTTGCCCAGTTTGCTCAAGATGTAGATAACGTTCTGTAGAAACTTCCCACCCCAGAAAGTAGTCATCCAGAAGGGTAATCTTCTACTATTTCCTCTCATCTCTCAGGCTGTACAGATTTGCTTTTGGCTAGACTTGCATGCTGGAAATGCCCTGTTGAAATCACTCTGCCATTAGTAGGTAAAACACCAGAAGAAACTGGGAAACTGAACTACTGAAAAGCAGTGGGAGAAGGCAGCAGAAACAATGAAGATTTAACCACTGCCTAGTACCTTCTGTCTATGAAATATTAATAAGTACATACACTAATTCTCCCATCTTTCAGAGCTGATCATATTTTTCAGTATGTGTTTATATAGATAAAAAACAATAAATATTTTCTGTATTATTTTTGGCTGTCAAGAATGAAGCCAGAATGAACCCATATTTTAGAAAATGAGGCAGCATTTTACTACAGCAGGGCTTTGTACATTTTTAGCAAGGACATTAAACCCTTTTTTATGTGTAGAACTACAGCTGAGTTTGAAATAGTATGTTTGAGTTATGTTTTTCTCTTTTTTTTTTTTTTTTTTTTTTTTTTTTGAAGTTCAAAGACTGAAAAAAGGAAGAAACAACTGAAAGTGAATTCTGTACTGGCTTTAGAAGTTATTGATTACCTACTGCTTGGCATATGAAATACCTGTAGGTACTCAGTCACTGTAGTTCACAATGCAGTTCAGCTGAGCATCTCCTGGTCATGTTCTCCATGTCACTCTTAAATCTTTCTCAGAGTGAGGGCAGAGGAAGTATTTACTTTTCACAGGAGGAATATTTGCCTGAGCCTTAATTAACTGTCTTAGTTCACCTTAAAATATTGTACAGGTTTATACAATAATTTCCAGTAAAGCTGCCATTTTGCTTATTCCTGTAATGAAAGCACCAACTGGAGAACATAAAGCAGTGATTCTTCTTCTTCAGACACAGGTCACTCTTCCAATTCTGTGTTCATCACCACTGGGTACCAGACCACCATTTAAAATACTGAGTTGTGTGACCAAAAGTATCCTTTCTTTTTTTTTTTTTTTTGCCAAACTTATGTGTTAATCTGTATAAACTGCAACCTCACTTATGGCTTTCTACTCCTCTTCTTTCCTTGGTATGTTCTTGCTGCAGCACCCTCCCAGAGCACAGCAGAGGAGAGAGCAGTGAGGGGTGCTGACTAACTAGAGAGTTTAAATAATTTGCTTAGATAAGATGCCTAACTTTTTTCAATGACAAATGTTGAATAATTCATATGCTGAGTGCTTGAGGGACAGATATTCAGGAAGTGCAAACAGAACAGCAGATCTTGAATATCACCCAAGAACCATGGGAAGACACATTGGTTTTGCAGTCCAGTGAAGACATGAGAGACTGCTTCCCTTAATCCTGAGTCTGGAATGATAAACTAATTTTGTCTTGGTAGCATAAAAATGCTATAAGCTTTCATTGGCTTTGTGTTTCCTGGAGCCCTAATTTGGCTGGTCTACAGCAGCACTTAATTAACATTGTTTTACAGGTTCATTGAAAAATGTTCCATAAAAGCAATTGATATTGTTTCCTGTTTCCACTGAAATCAAGGAAGCCTTTGCCCTTATCTTCAGTGGAAGAAGAGATTGCCAAAGACAGTCTCTGCCCTACTAAAGAATGAGATTGTCGCCCTTTTCCAAACTTTACATTTACTTACTTTCTTGTCTTTGCTGCAGTGCTGCCAAGAGTTTTGCAACTCTGTTTGTGAATGTGGATGTCACTTCTGAACCCCACGAGGTCTCTGCCCTCTGGTTTTTGTGGTATGTGAAGCAGTGTGGGGGGACAGCCAGGATCTTCTCAACAACCAATGGAGGGCAGGTATTGTCAGCCATCACCTTCTGCGGCTTGCAATGAACCCTTGTTTAGCTTCATTCTTCTGCTTGTTTATTTAAGTTCAGAGGGTGAACGGATACACCCATGACTTTGACCTAGTAGCACATTGGTAACTAGTTGCATGCATTTACACATTAATCAAACTCTTGCTAAACTCGTGTTGAAGGCTGTTCCTGTGCTGAAGGCATTGGCCTAACGGTCAGTAGATTTGTAACAGTTCCTGACTGTCTTCCTTTTGGGCTCTGGTTGGAATACATATTTTGTTTATTCATTTTTTAAACAAAGGAAAATATCATGCTTCCTTCTGGTATAAGGCTGAAGACAGACTTACTGCTTCAGAAATACTTCATGAGGATGGTAATGCTAGCTGTACCAGTGTGCAGAGCACTTCAAATCAATACTGGAATTGTAGCCTGGAGCTGGGTTCCTAAAGACACAAGCTTCCAAGAATTAAAACTGTAAGGATTTTAAAATCAATCTGAAGAAATTGAAGAGGCCTGCTTAAGTATAGTATTGCTCTAAAATGACTGCAAAACTGGTACCTTGGTGCTGCTTCTGCATTTCAAAAAGCTAAAGACTCTGTTAATGGTCTTCTACTTTAGAAATGCAAATTTTAGTGAGTATGTTTGAAATAATTATATTTTTACCAATGTAAGTTATTTAATCACAAATAAATATCCAAAGACAAAAATAAAGATAAAAAAAAAAGATTAAAAAACACAAAGATAAAAATTACAACACATAAAAATGCATAGATAAACATGCATAGATACATAAGTAATTATAGATAATTTAATTGTAAATACAATGCATAAAATATTATTTGAATCCTCCAGTAAGTTGGAGGTTATTTGAGTTTAAGTTAGGTTGGATTACATACTGCAGGATATGTGATCAGTGTTGCTGATGCACACAGGTCTGTGGAATCCATTTGAAGCTCACATGGGAGTATTTTTTTTTTCTCATGAGGTTACTGATACTTCTAGTTTTGGCTCGTGGTCAGACCTGGGAGGTGCAGGAGTTCACTGAAAGAGAAAATAATGTGGAGACTTTTTCCAAGACTGCTAAACTTCCTGAAGAAAGTTTGTTAACAACAGAAGAATGAAGTTTGTTTTGAACCCCAAGCAAAATATTTGTCATTATCTGAGCTTTGCACGCACAGCTTTGCTGATTCCTCTGTGCTGAGTCATCATTTTGTGTCTTTCAGGAGAGAAAGTTTGTTGGAGGCTCTGGACAGATCAGTGAGAAAATAATGGAGCGCCTAGGAAGCCGAGTGAAGCTGAGGAAGCCAGTAGTCCGCATTGACCAGTCGGGTGAAAATGTCGTAGTGGAAACCTTAGATCATGAATTATATGAGGTGATGAAACCTCATACATCTAAACAACCATTTGTATTGGGACAGATAGAAAACTTTCAGTTTTTCCTTTTTGTCTTTTCCAAAATCCTGTAAAAAAATGTAGCAGAGACCAAAGCGGCTATGACAGAAAGTTGCTTTTTCTGACTGTTCCTGCGTAACAGCACTGACAGAACTGTAAAATGATATCTGAAAAGCAAAGTGTCTGTTGAAAGTCGTCCTTCTCTACCAACTTCTTTGTGTTCAGTTACCTTCAGAATTAAAGGGTAGTGGTAAGGTGAACATGATACTGTAGCTTAGTAATAAACTTCCTGTGAAAAAAAAAAAATCAGGCTTTGCTTCCAAGTTGTAACAGAGGAGTCCAGATGGAAAGGCGACCAACGGACTCCTATAACACAGAAAATCTCTCCACTGGATTTTTTCAAGTGCTGGGAAAAGAGCAGCTGCCCATCATTGGAACAGATGGCTGTTTACATAATGCTTGTTTGTTGTTTTAACAACCAGGATTTTGTGAGGGTTCAGTTTCGCAATTCTTGTACTAAATGCCAAAATTGCTTTAGAAGATACACCCTGCAACCTCTCCAGATGTCTGCTGAAATCATTAGAGCAATATAGTTAGGTTGACATAGTGGAGAATGTCGTTGGCTTATGTATAATTTCTTCTGCAGGGCAAATATGTGATCAGTGCCATTCCCCCAGCTCTTGGTTTGAAGATTCATTTCAACCCACCTTTGCCCCCAATGAGAAACCAGCTCATCAACCGAATCCCAATGGGCTCAGTCATCAAATGCATCGTGTACTACAAGGAAACCTTCTGGAGGAAGAAGGGTATTACATTTTAATTAAAAAATTACATTTTAATTAAAGTAGTAGTTGTAGCAGTGGAATAGAGAGGGAGGAGGTACATAGTAACAGAGTGGACTTTGAGTTTAGAGAATGGTGGATCTTAGAAGGAGATTCCATATACTTCCATGCCTTTCCTTGAGAAACTTGAGAGAGAGTTTTGGAAGACTGGGTAGATGGGAGAAGAAAAAGAAAGGGGTAGGCATGAAGGGAGAGGGCAAGGTACAGTCATGCCTGTTGCTTATTGCTTTGGTTGTTCTTTGTTGTCCTCTCCTTTTCCATTGGAGATACCTGGTTATGAGTTTCTCCCACTCATACAATAATCTAAAGGTACAAGAGACATATGATGGAGAGAGGTTTTATCCCATCAGCTGTCAGCCTGCAAAACCTCTGCCTTCTGGCTGTGTTGGGCAGGATTCATTTAGGTTGTCTTCCTTGTCTTCCAATGGACACCTCCATCTGCACCCTTTATATGCTGAATACTTCCATTATGATTCCTCAGATCTCTTTTATAACTTAGTCTCAGACAAACTGTGATGTCATAGCACCCATTTCTCTTCTGTGGTTATAATGAGTCCACAACTATTTGTCTACAAGTGTCACTCACCCTTCATCTCTGTGAATGATTTTAAGAGCTCTGGATTTTGGCATATACTGGCCATTAAGTTTTGGGATGGATTGGCAAAAGGTAACTCTCATTTCCTGATACAATCCATAGTTTGCATACTGTGCTTTGATAGCACAGTTTTTCTTCTTTTAAGATGAATTTATTTTCTTCAAATTCTTCTTTTAAGAACAATTGCGTTTTCAAAACAACTTACAAATATCTCTTCCTTTGTCTGACATAAATGTCACATATGGAAACAATTGTGCTAGAGGCACTTGAACATCTTCAGTATCTGAGAACAATCTGTTTCTGTGCAGTTTCTGTGCAATCTTGCTAACTGGGTTGGAGTTTATTTTTGTATTGTGAATTCAACAATAGATTCCTTTACTGTCTTTCTGCTTTAAAGAAGAAGACAGAAGCTTTTCTGTTTCGAAAAGACTGCTAATTGTCAGCACATCTCAGATGCAAACTTTCTCTTCAAGATAGGATCTAACACTTCTCTGAGCCAATGTGAGCTGCCTTGCAGATTGGTGAGGGTTATGTGCTAATTTTTGTCACTTGGTTAGGATCACTTTCCTTGTTTGTTTGGTTTTGTTTTGTTTCTTTCTTCTTTCTTTCATTTTCATATCTCCTTATATTAGAAACACAGTCAGAGAATAATATGGATTGGGAGGGACTTCTGGATGTCATCTAGTCCAATGCCTTGCTCAGAGCAGGGTACCTTTAGATCAGGTTGTTTAGGGCATTTTCTGGTCAAATTTTGAATATTTCACAGCTCACACACGTGTCCAAATACATGGATCCTAAATTCTTTTCCTCCTTGTGCTTACAGGGTATTGTGGTACCATGATGATTGAGGACGAGGATGCTGCAATTGGTTTAACACTTGATGATACTAAGCCTGATGGTAGCTTTCCTGCCATAATAGGGTAAGAGAAAAGATATCTACTTAATGCCTCTTTATTTTGTCTTCAATGCAACAACTGAAGCAGAAAACCTGCTACTTTTGAAGGAAAATCCTTTAATAAAATAACACTCCACAGATCATGTGAATCGCTTACAACTCAGAATATTCTGATAGTTAAAGGGTTGTATCTCAGTATATAGTGATTATTTTTATGAATTTTTCTTTCCAAAAAATTCTCACTATGATTTAACAGGAAATTTTAAATGATGAAATTCTATTGCTTCTTCTCTTTTTCTGCCTGTCATATTTTGCCTTGTCATGCACCAAAGTATAAAAATGGAGAAACAGAAAGAAAGGAGAAAGAAAAAAGGAGGTTAATGCACAAATTTACAGCTTTCTCTAAATATTTTGCCTCCCCAAAACTTGCAGTTCTTTAAATGAAAATTTGTTTTCTAGCATTTCATTATTTTTATTAAAAAACTGCTTGATCGGTCTTAGAAAGTTATTAATTTCCATGTCAGTCCCAGCAAGCAATCCCAGGTTTAACCTCTTGTTATTATATGCCTGCACACACTCTTGTATAAAATCTAGGTCACTGGGACCTAATAACTTATCTCATACAAATGAGCTCTGAACTTTAGAGTGGGTTCTTCCAGTTAGTTTTTTTCCATAGTGAGTATAGCATATAATGTTACACAGTAAGATAAAATGGACAGTTTGGTTAGTGACCCAAGAGCTAATATTAATGATTACATCATCTCATCAAAAGGTTTTGGCATTTTAAATAATGCAGGCAACATAGTAACATAATGGAAACAAATTGTTTTGTGGTCTTCTTTTTTTACAGTTTCATTCTTGCTCGAAAGTGTAGAAGACTGACAAATCTCACAAAAGAAGAAAGGTGAGCACAAATGATAGAGATTTTATTAGACTCAAACTTCGGTTATAAACAACCAGAGCAGGAAAATGTGCCCTAATCTGAAGGAAGCTGTAACCTTGTGACTGTAGGTGTATGTGTCACTTAAAGGAAGTAGTCCTCTTATTTGTGGTGGGCTTTTTTTTTTTCTTTTTTTTTGAGAACTCTGTAAGGTCTTCATCCAAACTGGCAGCAGATGTGGCAGCCAGTCCTTGTCCAACAGATGAACTGCTCTAAGCTGCTGGCTATAGACGTAGTGTAGATATCCTGCTGCCCTCACTGAAAAGGGCCAGGGTAGCCTCATCCCCATTGCTGCCTCTCTGGCTTAATGCAACTGCACTGCGCAATTACAAAGCTTGTCAGAAGAGTTAGGTTTGTCCACTCTGCTTGATTTTGCTAGTCACCCTGGTGGGTCATTTCAGCATCTGTAACTTAGCACAACCCTTGCACTGCTGTAGCTGCTGTGAACAAGATCTCAGTATCATGAAGGGTTCAAAAAGCTGCTTCTAGCTCTCCATCCTCAGCTGCAGAAAAAAATGCCTATCAGGCAGTGTTTTTTTTACTGTCTTGTTAAAACAAATCTGTGCATACAGTACTCCTCTTTTGTCTATTATTAAATTAGAATTTACAAAGTAATGAGATTTTTTTTTCCATCACACGGTTTCGCAGTATCTGATCAAATTAAAAGCTACACATAGAGTATGGATGTAAGAAGAGCCTTATTTTGACATGGAAAAAAATGCATTTGTATTTCAAGCATGCCACAAGGAATACTGTGTCCAAGTAAACATTTTTACAGTAATAGCCAGCCTAACTAGAGAGGATGTAGTCATCTCAGATTAGCTTTGCAGGTAGTCTAGCTGTCTGTGGATAATGGGTCTAGATGGGCCTGTTAATATCCCAGGCTTTTGAAATGACAGCCAGGTACCACAGAGCTCCCTTACTTTTGGCAGGAATGGACAAGGTTCTCTTTTCCTCAGCACTCAGGCTTTGAAATAGACCCCCAGCAGGTGACTGACGATAAAAGCAGTGTAGGTATTCTGAAATCCAGCATGCCTCGCATTTTAAGCCATCATAAACACCAAATGGCATCTTACACTGTGTGTCAACATACAAGATATTACTGAGCATTTGCAGTACTTGAGAAGAGCTTCTATTTCTGTGAAATGAAGGGCTGTCCTAGCTATTTGTAAGGCACCGTTGAAGAAAAGCTACTCTTCCCTGGGCATTAAAAGTGTTAGCATGACCAGCTGACCACTGCTGCCTATGGTCAAGCTTTAAACAAAAGGATTTAGAACTCTAGTCTTTTGTGCAATACATCTGAGAATAGGAAGGACTTCATTTTGGTAAAGAATGGACATGAAATGTGCGAGGGTTGGTAGATGCACCCTGGTGCCAGGGCTGGGGGTGCAATCCTGGTCACGGTCAGACAAGGCAGGAGCCTCCTGAACTGCAGCTCCTCCCCTGAACATCAGTACAAGGCTTCTTCACTGGAAACCAATCTTCAGGAGAAGACAGAGTGCAAAGCTGGGTCTTCTCCCACTGTAAGTTCAGGAAGCAAATGGTTTGTGTCATTTAGATGAGGGCTTTGGTGTTTGCAAGGAGAGACTGCAGGAGCAGGGTGGGCTAGCTGCCTTCCTGAGACAGTGCTCTCTTATCAGCAATAGCTGGGCTCTCCCTTTATCATGGCATGGACAATAGGGTTAGGCTTTCAGTACTGCATATGAGGAGTTGGATGCATGGCAGCTATTTTAATTCATGGCTGAACAGCAGTGGTGGGAGGGGATGGGAACTGCTTTACAGTTTAAGCCAGATCCAAAGGAGTGAAGCCCACCACTGCCTTCCAGCTGGCGTTCCCAGGCCAGGTGCCAATGACTAATTACAGTGTTTAAATTGTGCCCTACCTTTCGCAACTGTGCAACAAAGGCATCACACACAGCCTTGGCATGAAAGAACAGGGAGGAGAGATGAGTGCCTGCATGTGCACTTCATCCTCACTGCAGGGAGGAAGCACTGGGCATGGTGTCGGTCTCAACAGGATCCTACCTTTGTAGCTCCAGGCATAACACTCCGCCTATTTAGGTCTGGTGGTAATTTCACAGCTGAGTTCAAGGCCCAGAAATAAGGATTTTACTTGCTGTGTATGCCATATATTCCATATGGGCATTAGCCACAAATTTATAAATAAGAATTTATTTAAACTGCTCCAAGACAAAAGGCGCAGATGGTGCAGAAAGGCCACTGCATCTGCAAGAATTGCCTCTATTAAGGGGGATGCCTGCACAGAAGGACACCTTCATCAAGGGCTTTCAGGCCTTCCTATTCTTTTTCTCACCTTCTTTCCATAGCATTCTTTGAGCTCAGCTGCTCATGGGTATAGCTGGGCTGTATTGTATGTCAGCGTAAATATGGTTTCCTCATAGGCTTATAGAGCTGGAAGTACGGTCCGTGCAGAGCTGGGACTGCTGTATTGCTGTCCCTTGTGCCCAGCATGGCCCTCTATGGAGGGCAGAATTTGCTTCCAGAAGTAAACCAAGTAAATGTCTTTCCAGTGTTGTGTTTGTGTGTTTGCTTGGTTTTCATAATTGTTCATCATTATTTCATCTTGATCTTCTATTTGGGAATTGGTGTGGTACAACTAGCAGTAAGACCCAAAAGCTTGTAGGAATGAACTTCATTGCACTTGGGGCTTACTACAGCATGAAGTATATTCACGGATTTATAGACTCATAAACTAAAACAGGAGGAGATTTTATAGATACAGAAATAAAGTACTGATTCTCTGAGCCTCAGGCTACCAATACCTGCATCTTTGTAGGAACAAATTATAATTTAGACTATGTGCCAAGACCAAAAAAAAAGTGCGACGTCTTCCTTATTTTCCTGACAGCTTAGAGAATCTTTGTGCAGTATATGAACTTGGTCTGCTAGAGATGTCTTAAAGGAACTGCTTGCATAACTGCTGGTGAAACTGGCACTTACGCATCACAGAAGTTTGACTGAAAGATCTCTGAAGTCATCTGCTCCAGAGTCTGAACAATTAGATCAAGAACAATTAGATCCAGCTCCTCAAGAGCTGGAACCTCAAGTTTGAGCAGATACTAATGCTTGTTCTCTTGAAACTGGAACATTAGAGGCAGTGTATTTTCTCTTTCCTTACACATAGGTCTTCTGTTGCTTTTCTCTTGCAGGAAAACGAGGCTGTGTGAGCTCTATGCAAAGGTTCTGGGATCAGAGGAAGCTTTACATGTAAGCACACAGTCTAAATCATGGTGTCTCTCATCAGTTGTGTTACAGAGGCAAAGGGGAGAAAGAAACTGGAATGCAGAAGTGCTCTAGCACAGCGCTATGTAGCATTTTGCTACAGAAGTATGTGCTCCTCTGGAGTGGAGAGAACGTTACAGCAAGCCTTGCTTTGTATTTGACAGTGAAGATAAGAACGAGCTTATTATGAACCAGTTAAAAAGGCAAATCTGTCCTCATTCTCTGCCTTGATGAGGGTGGCGTTCATTATGGTTACCACCATAAATCTCAACTGTTTCAAAATTCTCTCATAGTCCATATTGAGCATAATGTTTCTTCTGTCCTAGCAGTTGCTAAGATCCATTGCTGCATCTGTTTTTCTTTTTGACTTTCCCTTGTCTTCTCTTCCCTGTAATGGTAAATAACTGATAGGATTTGTGTGAACTCACACTTAGATTGTGTGATCAAAGCCCTATATCCTTTAAGGGAAATTCTATGTGAGTTAAATGTTGTAGACACCAATCTCAAGATTGCATCATTTTAAACACAATGATAATTGTACACAGAGCCATGCAAGCACCACGTCACATTTTCAACAGTATGTGTTTGTATCCTGTGCATATATTACAAGTATTACACCTGTTTACAGCAGAGGTTAATTTTTCTTTGCATGGCCCAAAGCATAAATTTGTGCTCAAAGTGTAAATTTACGTTGACAGATTAAGAGGATTATGTTCTACAGTGCCCAGATTAGCTTTAAAATAAATAAATAAATAAATAACAACTCCAGCTAGCAGTGTCTAAAATTAAGGTTTATTTTATTGTTTCCGATCCGTGCTGCATTAAGAGACTTGTTAAATGTGCTCATTATGTCAGGCATTGTCATGCAACAAATCATAAACTGTTCTTCACTGCTGTCTCCTCAGTTCTTTTATTAGCTTCCTCAGGACTTTGTCCTTTCCTTGAGTGAATTAATGTCTGTTTTACAGCCAGTACATTATGAAGAGAAGAACTGGTGTGAAGAGCAGTATTCTGGAGGATGCTACACAGCCTACTTCCCACCAGGCATAATGACTCAGTATGGAAGGTACGGTGTCTATTTATAGTGGACTTCAGAGTAGCAAGATAAAACCAAGTTAATAAATAATCTCAGAAAGGGTCATAAATCCTCTGTCATTCTGTTGGCTTTATACCTTTGAGATTGCTAGAGAATATTTTAAACAGATATTATAACCTTCCACTTGTCTCGGTTGGGCTTTATGATGGATGAGTACAGTATCATTAGGGTTCTTTTTTTTTTCTTTCTTTTTTTTTTTTTTTTTCCTTTTTGTTATTTCATGAATACAACTTAGTAGGCTTTTGGAAAGGAACTGGGAAGTTTTCACAATCTGTTTACAAAACAACCTTTGGGTATTTGAGATCAGTGTTACCATTTCCAGCACATCTTTAACTGGTGTTTTGTAAATACTGGTGGAGAGTTAATTCCTGTCAACATTGACAGTCAAGTGATTTCTTTGGTCTGTTCTTTTAGCAGACAAGGCTTAATACAGCAATCAGTGTGCCATTGTTTACAGTCCTCTCAGGCATAAATTTTTGCATGGAAATAAGATTTACCAAGAAGAAAAAGACTTACTGCTCAGACAAGTGATTGGGTTTCAGATATGTATTTTGTAATGCCTACTTGAAATACAAGTTTTCACAATTCAAAACGAATTTAGATCAATAAAACAGTTGTAATGAAGAATATATGGAGGCCTTAGTTTTTAAGGTAATTTTAATGACACTAATTGTGAATGCTCAAAAAAAAAGCTTTTTTTTTTTTTTTTTGGTTGTTGCTTAGATATTATGGGTATATGTTTTAGAATATTTTTACATTTAGAATGTATATATTTAGAATGCTTCACTTCAAAGTGTGAAGAACGAGTAATACCCAGCACGGGTATTTAAGACACTGGTTAAAATCTTGAGATATAAAAAGTCTCCTCTCAGACTAATTGTCTTTTACACCTACATGAACATTAAATTCACATCCAGAAATAGCACTGCAAGAAGTGCAGTGTAAACGTTTAGAAAATACCAACACTGTTGCATTTACTGTAAGAAATGCAATGCAATGCAGACAGCCTTCCTATCCATCTCAACTCATCCAAAGTTAATATCTTTAAGTACCCATTGTTATTTTAAAAACTTCTATTCCAGTGTTCACCTAAGGATTTAATTTTCTTTCCTGATATGGCTGACATGACTTATTGCTTCTTCCCCCTTAAGGATTCTTCGGCAGCCCGTTGGCAGGATCTACTTTGCTGGCACAGAGACAGCCACAGAGTGGAGCGGATACATGGAGGGGGCCATACAGGCTGGAGAAAGAGCAGCCAGAGAGGTACAGGCGCAAACCCAAAGCAGGCAACACTGTCAAATATCTGATGGAAAATGAAAGATCTTCTGGTTGGAGGCAAAATGAGACTTTAGTGTTGACATCTTCAGGCATTCTGGAAAAGGGAGAAGGGTGAATAACCCTTAGACTTGGAGTGCTTAGGAGGAACTCTGTCCATTTGATCAAACTCCATTCTATCTCCAGCAACAAAATCCTTTATTCTTCTTTAACAGAAATCCAAGATTCTCATCTAGTTATCATTCCCTCAGATGGGCACTTCATGTTATTCATCATACTGAGAGATCACGGCTGTTAGCCTCACTGGGAACAGCTCAGTTCTGCAGGTTTGCAGACCAAGCCAGTCCCTTCCTCAACTGTTTACAACATCGGCATTTATGTAGTGATATACGATAGATATAACCTTACATATAGTTGTGAGAAACACTCTGTAGCCAATAACTTAGGCTCAGGCGAGGATCTCAGTGAAGTAGTAATTTATTCGCGATTGCAATGGCGGGCGCCCCACAAGCAGGAGAGAGCGCATCTACTAGTTCCAAAACACAGTTTATATACCTTTTGATGGCAGGACCCTCCCCTGTTTCCCCACTGAGTGGGTAATCCAGGTTCACAATCTATCTGATGCTTCACAAACAACGCATAGTCTTCAGTTGCCGGCCTGTTAAATTTCAAATTTCTTTTGACATTTTTACTGCTTGAAGTGGTAATGTTTCTTCACTTATCTGACTTGACTTGACACCGTGATTTTCACCTAATTGTCCTAAGGAGACTGGTTGTCTGCATTTTACTAGGTCGCCTGCTAAACTTTCTTATCACTGTAAGCATATCTCAGTACCACATTCCCTCCTTCTAAACAATGTAACTCTGCAAAAACAACATTTCTGTTCCCACAATTCCCCCCTTTTCTTTTTTTTATAAACTGTTGATTTTTGCAAAACCTTTCTCTAAGGTGCAATTTGATAGACTTCTTCTTCTTTGCTTCTTTGCTTTCCATCTCCTCATTATCACCTTATCTGAGTAAGGTGGTGGCTCCATGGTCATTTGTTTCAATAGTGCGGTTTCAGTTAACCACTGTACTAGTCCTCTTACACAGGGGATAATGCAGCAACCAATGGCTGTCAAAACTCCTACAACTACGATCAATGTTGCAAATATGCCTATTTTTTTATTTTATTTTATTTATTTTTTCTGCCAATTCACTGGCAATGGTGGTAAGCCCTTGCAATGCTCTTGTTACCGAGCCATCTGGGACACTATTGTTGGGTATAAGAGTGCAACAATGGTTGCTCAGTATTACACACACAAACACACCTACTTCTTCTGCGAGCATCATATCTAATGCTATCCTGTTTTCCCAAGCCATTTTGCTGATGGCATCTAGTTGTTCAGCGATTCCTCTCATCGCATCCTTGGTATAATTGATGAATCTCTGCTGATTATAATAGAAATAATTAATCCAATCCACATTTTTATTGATTGTTACCCACCAGAACAGGGACTCAAACCCTGCAGCAATTTGATTTCTGGCTTTATGTTCATCTGGAACTCCTCTAGGTACCCCAATAGAATCTATATATACTCTATCATCAAATGATATTCCTAAGCCTCTTTTACTTCTGGGTATTTGTGATGTTTCTCTTTCAAATGCCAGGGTGAAGGGTATAGCTAATTGAACAAGTGCGCAAGTGCCTTCCCAATTAGATGGTAGGGTGGACCGTAAGATCTTCCCTCCACCGTACCACCAGAGATCTGCCCTGGGGATCTCTAGTCTTGAGCAGTTTCCCATCAAGTCCTTGGTAGCACAAGGCAAATTCTCCCAGATGCCAGGTAGCACTCACACCCTGCCGTGAGAGGCAAGCTGTATGGTTACCTATAGCTGTAGAGAATGCAGGGGGAACTGCGATATTGTTATCATGCAAGAAACAGCAAAGAGAGACTTACAGGCCTCATTTCCCCAGGCAGTCTTTCCTTGGTACAATGCATTCATATATCGCATCCCTTGGGAGTCTTTGGTCCACCCCCATGGGAAGGGCACTATCTGGGCAATCGGTCATCCTGAGGCACAAGCATAGCAGTAGCTACGGTTGAGACTCTGGACGGTATATTTGACCCATTCTATCCAGGCATTCACATCCCCATACCTTGTTTGAACTGACACATTTCAGAGGGCCTCCTGTTTTCTCTCCTGTTTTCTCCTTGAGTTTCTCCCTTTCTCTGATGGCAATAGAGGATTGTTTCCATACAGTATTCTCAATCTGGCTGTTGGGTCTCTCTCAGTTATTGGTTCTCTCTGCTCAATTGTCGTTGGGCATTTAAATCTCCACAAGCTAACACCTCACAAACATCAAACGTGACAGAATGTGGTACATAACCCTCTGTCACAGTCACCCATATTTTGATGGGGTATCCCGTTTTTGCTATTATCTGGTCATGCCTTTTGCAAGTTGCCAATTGACCAAGGCCTTCTCTGAGGCCTAGAATCACTAAAAACAAAATTAGTAATCAATTTTTCCCTGTCATCATTTTTAAACCTTAGGTTTCCAAATAATTATTGATACAAAAAGTAAGATGTACACTACTACTATAACAACCCCCCCTTGGGAGCACTGCAATTCACTATAGGTCTGTTCTTTCTCTCAATCACAAATTATAGTCGTTAGTTACCTGTGAAAATAAAAGGTTAGTTTACAATTGTAAGCTCTTATCTTGCTCAGAGTCCACTATGAGATTTTTCAATTTCAACTTCCAACAAGTCTTTTGTAGGAACAGCTTCCCAGGTACTAGCGTCAACGGATGCCTTCACTCGAGTATAGTGAGTCCAACCTTTTTCCACAGTTCTTACGGCTGTTTCAGTGGTTAGTAATTGTCCTTCCCATTCAGGCCGGAGTTGACTCTTTCCAGGTCCGAATCAGGACCCGGTTTCCTGGGTGATGGTGGTGAATGGGGAATTCCAAAGGTGGGGTTTGAGCCAACAACCCACAGGTCCTGAGAAATGACAAAGAAGAGGACAACCCCAGAATACAGTTCTTAAGAAAACTCTCTTGTTTTGAATTGTGGTATCTCATCCCTTCTGCCCAGATAGGGCAATCTGAACAGCATCTCATATGGTAAAATTCCTGTATCCTTTCTTGGTGCTGTTTAAACCTGTAGGAGTAAGCATTTTACCCAAGGAAGTTGGGTTTCTAACACTAGTTTAGTTAATTGCTTCTTTAATGTCTGATTCATTTGTTCCACCTTCCCAGAAGAGGAGGGGTGCCAGGGGCTGTGAAAATCCCACTCAATCTCTAAGGCCTGCTTTAACCCTTGCAGTAAAGCTTTACACCCATCCAGTCACATGGTCAATTAGAACAAACAAGTAACTCAGTAAAGTCTACCTGTATACTTTGGAAAGGTCAAAGCCCTGGCTCCCGTCCCCCTCTAGATGGGTTACAGAAGACCTTTTTATTTACCTTTTGACATGTGGTACATCCTCTACATATGTGCTTCCCTAAAGTGTATATTCCTACACAGACATACTTTCTTAGCACAACATCACACATTGCTTGCACTTCCCAATGACTCTTTTGATGTAAAACAGTTAATATTTGCCTCATTATCACTTTATTCAGCATTTCTCTCCCATCAGGGAGTATCCATTTTCCTTCAGACTTCATGGCTCCTGATTCCTTAAAAAAATCTTTTTAAAACTTTTAGTTCTTTCTTAATTTTCAACAATTCCCTGAATCCTCTCTGCATTTATTCTGTTTTCCTTCAGACATTAGATGCCTTAAATACCTGACTTCTCTTTCTCCATATTGTAATTTATTTATTTTTTTTAATACTCCCAAGCCCTGCTTTCCCAGAAAGTTGAATAGCTTGTTAGTAGCTTTCTTCACAACTCTTTTCTCCTGTCCTGACAATAGAAAACGATCCACATATTTGTTAACATTAATACCTCCTCAGGAGGTTGTAATTGCTCCAAAATCTTTTTTTTTTTTTTTTTTTTTTTTTTTTTCTTTTAGAACTTACCCAAATAGATAGGTGGCCCTGTAAACCCCTGAGGTAAAATTGTCCACCTATATTGTTTTTTCCCGCCCCCATTTCAGGGTCTTTCCAGTCAGAGGTGAATATATGTTTGCTCTCAGGGTCTGAGAGCACTCCATTAATAACACTGTTATTTCCGTCTAACAATTTACTATTTGAATGCCCAATTTAATCATCAAATTCCTTCCCAACAAGTTAGTTCCTGCCTTGGGTACATACAATAATTACCTAGCGATCATTTTATCCCCTAGTCTCAGCTTGGTATCCCCCAAAAGTGGCACTGTTATCCCAGCCCCTTCTGCCCCCATCACTTTTTAGGGTTTCATTAGTTAATTTAATCCCTGATAATTTACAAGTCAGTAATGACCCCAGTGTATTGGGTTTGATGGCAAGGTTCGGGGGGTGTGAGTGGGGGGGGGGCGTGGGAAACTGCGGTGGCAGCCCCCGTGAGAAAAACCCAGAAGCCTCCCGGTGGCAGGTAAGGGACAATTTCATCCGGCCCCTAAGGGGCTCACTGCCGCCCAGAGCCAAGCCATGAGCAATACAGTCCGTGCCTCTGTGAGAGCACATCCACGAAAACAAACAAACAAAGAAACAAACAAAAGCCTGCTGCTCAACAGCAGTTGGGAGAGCGAGAAACCCCCCCGCAGACACCAAAGTCAGTGCAGAAGGAGGGGGGAGGAGGCGCTCCAGGCGCTGGAGCCGAAGCCCCCCTGCGGCCGCTGGAGAGGCCCGTGGTGGAGCAGGCTGTTCCCCCCTCCCCGATGCTTGGGAAACTGACCAAACACCAGAGCAAATATGCAAATATACCAAAACTTCCAGACTGTTACTTAGATAATGCCTACATCACCTTTCCCTGCTCATTCAATTTCAAACAGCTCTGTTAAATACTACATGCCACACCTTTAACCCCTTCAGCAACCCTTTTAACACTTCCTTTATCTTTCTCCAGCCTGTACTTTTCTAATACCAGCACCAAAGGCTCAGTCAGGGTCCAACTTAATTCCATACCTTTTCCCTCCAAGATAAACAACATACCAATATAGCATATTTCATCCTATTTTCCTTCTTTCCTCCTTCTTCCACTCCGGATATTCCTATTCGAAGTGGCCAGCCTGGCCACACTTAAAACATCTTATCAAAGCCTGTCTCTGCTAGGACTCAGGCCACAACACAGGCAGCCTTCTTTGCCTGCCATTCCTTCATCTCTCTTCCTCTCCTTTCCATCCTGGCCCTGACTCCCCCTGAAGATTTTTTCCTCTTTCTCCAACCCTCTGCTTCACTACCCGCTGCACTGTCAATACCATTAGTTTCACTTTTTTTTTTCTTTTTTTTTTTTTTTTCCTTCTTATCTCCCCTCCAGACACACGCCTCCCGGGCCTCCCGCAGGAGGGTCCCCCAGTGACTGTTCACTACATCCCCCCACCTTCTAAAGCATTTTCTGTGTATTTTGCCAGGCTTTAATCACACAATGAACTTTCAAGAGCCCTTGGGATACTGGGTCCTCAGGTCTCATCCCCAAGTACTTTCTCATTCTGACCCCAAGTCTCTCATATGATTTCTGTGTTGCACACTATTATTATTCCAGCCAGGATTGGCAAGTGGGTATTTCTGCCCTGCCGGTATTACCCCTGGTCCTGGAGGATGAGCTCTTTCCCATTCTTGTATAGCAGCTCTCCTCCTGATCATTCCCATTTCTTTCCCTGTAAACAACATACTTATAGACATAATTCCCTCCCCCAAGAGTATAAATCAGGTCATAGGAACTGGTCTAATTGTTCAACTAGGCTGTTGGGGTCCTCGAATAAAGACTTCCTCTCCTTCTTAAAAATCCTAACCTCTCTGCTGGTAAGGAGGGGGGGGTAGTTCACCTAAGAGGATACACAGTTAGTGTTAGTACTGTTAGTATCAGGGAAGGCAAAATTCTCAATATCTCTTCTACCTTGTTCTAATTCTTGCCAGAGCCTAGAGTACGATCCTTCTTTAGGGACAGTGTTAATTACAGTCCCTGTCCCCCTACCTGGAGTGACTGCTGCTGCCACCAGTTCAATATTAAGATTATAGGGAGCATAACTTGGCTCCTTCTCTGAAAAAGGAATCTTATTGTTTACACATAAATTTAAAGCCTGAATTTTCATCAGACCCGTATTTTGGCCAAAATACTGCTGTTTCCTTAATTGGTTCTTTTGTCCAGACTGATACACAATATTTAACCTTTTTTAAAATTATTTTTCTTTTACAATCCCTCTAATTTTGGGATTATGTTTCCAATTTCTTATCATTCTTCAGGAAGAACTATTAGTAGGCACTCCCCCAGGGATATCTCCCTGTCCCCTGGAACTCATATTTTCCCATTTTTCCTAACCCTCGCCAGTATGTGCTACAGAAATTTCCCTTCTGCAGTGTACCACACACCAACGTACTGAAAAATGGGGGTGTACCGCCAAGCACTTCCCCGTGCAAGCGTTACCGCACACCTATGAGTTTACCAGATTCCCTGGAACTCGTACTTCCCATCTTTCCTAACCCTCGCCAGTATGTGCTACAGAAATTTCCCTTCTGCAGTTTACCACGCACTAACGTACTGAAAGATGGGGGTGTACCGCCAAGCACTTCCCCGTGCCAGCGTTACCGCACACCTGAGTTTACCAGATTCCCTGGTGTACTTCCAAGCACTTCCCCGTGCAAGGATTACCGTACACCAGATTCCCCTGGTGTAGTGCCAGCACTTCCCCGTGCAAGGGCTTACCATACACCAGATACCCGACCCCCAAGGCAATACTTAATATTTCTTACCTTGGTCTGTGCACAGAGTTACCGGATCGATTCTTAAAAACCCGGAGTGCCTACCTTCTTCCTTTCCCCACTACTTCACGGATCCTGCCTCTTTAACCAGTCTCGGGCCCTCTGTCAGCTTTCCGCAGAACCGCCACCGTCGATGCACAGGACCGCTGAAATCAGCGGGGCATGCCTTCCTGCTGCTGCGGCGGTGGGGCTCCCCAGTAGGTGACTGGATCCCGGACGAGCCCCCAAATTGTGAGAAACACTCTGTAGCCAATAACTTAGGCTCAGGCGAGGATCTCAGTGAAGTAGTAATTTATTCGCGATTGCAATGGCGGGCGCCCCACAAGCAGGAGAGAGCGCATCTACTAGTTCCAAAACACAGTTTATATACCTTTTGATGGCAGGACCCTCCCCTGTTTCCCCACTGAGTGGGTAATCCAGGTTCACAATCTATCTGATGCTTCACAAACAATGCATGGCCTTCAGTTGCCGGCCTGTTAAATTTCAAATTTCTTTTGACATTTTTACTGCTTGAAGTGGTAATGTTTCTTCACTTATCTGACTTGACTTGACACCGTGATTTTCACCTAATTGTCCTAAGGAGACTGGTTGTCTGCATTTTACTAGGTCGCCTGCTAAACTTTCTTATCACTGTAAGCATATCTCAGTACCACATTCCCTCCTTCTAAACAATGTAACTCTGCAAAAACAACATTTCTGTTCCCACATAGTCATTAAGCCAGAATTTTAATACTTCACTTCTTAAAAAAAGCCAATCCCTCAAATATTTTAATGAACATTAGGTGTGTAGAGCAGCAAAAGGAATTTCATCTTTGTTTTATGAGGTGAAGGGGACCTTATGGCTAAAAACTACTGTCAAGACAGGGATCATCTGTCCCTAAACTGTCCCATTTTTGAAGGTTATACCTGTTCTTGGAAAAAAATGTTCTTGAAAATCTCCAGAGGTAGTGCTTTATGACCTCTCTGATATAAGAATATACACTGCAGCACAATCTCCATGGATGTCATGAGGGAATTTGGCAAGTGAGCTTGACTGGTAAAAATATGTTATCTTTCTTTCCCTCATTTGCTAGTGGAGGGAAAATATGTGTAAAATCCAGTACAGGGGTGTTTCTCAATTTCTTTTATTGAAAAGTTGATAATTGTTCCTGAATCTTGTCTAAAATAAAAGCCCGTTGCAAAAGATGGCAGATCTTTTTAAATCTTCAAGTGGAATAGGAAAAACTTTTATATCACCACCTCTGTTTCATTTTACTATAGAAGAAGTTCATCTTTCTGTCTTTCATTACTGTCATTTCAGATAATTTGCTTTCCCACTCATCTCTGGTATGCTTGATACTATGAATGGTCAGTTTTCCATTGTGAAGGTTTCCTTTTTAATCTTGCTTTTCTCTGGCTGAAAGTGGTGGTCTGTCATTACTCACAGGATTCTACATCCTACATCATGGTAAAACTTGCAAAACAAACCACTCCTGGCTATACTGGTTGCTCTTGTAGTAGCAGGTTTATGCTCACCTCGCTTTGCCATGAGTGGATACTTAACTCTTAGTTGTATTCATATTACCCTATTCACATGAGACTAGTCAAATTCTGGTATCACAGAGAACAATAAAACATAGAGAGCTTTTTCTGTTACTGTTTCTATTTTCTTCTAGGAGCAGTGTCTTAATAAGTATCAAGTCTCCCTGGAAATGTGTTGTACAAAGATTGCATTTTCTTTAAAGTTTGGATACAGAAAGATTTATATGCTGAATTGTTATCTTAATCATGCTATTTTAAAACAAAAATTGAAAACAAGGCCTTTTCCCTTTCAAAAAATGAGTGGTGCTTACTAGAAAATTTTATTTATTTTCAGATACTGTTTGCTATGAGGAAAATCCCAGAAAGTGAAATATGGAAGCCAGAACCTGAATCAATTGTAAGTTTTTCTGTTAAGTGGATTACTATCTTTTCTGTGGTGTTGTCGATGAGTTAAATTTATTTATTTATTTTAAATTATTTAAATTACAATAATATTTTTCTTACTTAGCAAAACTATCCATCCCTAAACAAACAGGAACATAACAGAAACTAAGAGAGGGCACCCATGTGAAAGCTCTGTAACATGGGATTAGAAAGAATTGCACTTTTAAACTAGGCTATGAATCCTTTTCATGTATCTCTTCCTATTCCTCTTAACTGAGTAGAAAACTTTGATGCCCTGTTCTTCTTGGTAACATGAACTGCTTCAACCCAGTTCTTTCTCTGCTCAAGAATCTTTTGATTAACATTCTGCCTCTCACTGTGGAGATGTTATGATGGTAATGCATGCTCTCTCCACAGGATGTTCCAGCTTTGCCCATCACTACAACCTTTTGGGAGAGAAACTTGCCATCTGTGCCAGGACTGATAAAGCTGATTGGATTTTCCACTGTATTCACCTCTGTGGCTGTGGCAGGGTTATTTGCCTACAAAAAAGGACTTCTGGTTCGAAACTGAAAAAGGTGCCAACACAAAGCCTCACAGTTTTGTTTTTGTCAGAGGTTTTTTTGGCATGTACTTCCCTATCTCCAAAAACAGATCAGGACTGGGGAAGAGGAGAAAAGAGTAGAGAGAAGACACTAGAGTGGAGAGATAAATGGAGATCCATATTCAAAGGATTCGTATCCTTTGAATCCAGGCCTCCTTCTATCAGTAACTTTTTTTGTTGTTGTATTTCTAGGAAACCCTGCCAAGAATTATCACCTTGAGATTTTTATCCAGATTTCAGAACACAGGTGACAAAATGCCTCAATAAAGCCTGTTCTGATGAGTTTTCCAGTGTTTTTTACACTTCTGAACCAGGCCCCGAACTCTAAGTCTTCTTAGTACTTCATACCTATCTGGAAACAAAGCATTTCTGCCCTAATGTGTGACTGAGAAAAGAAATTTAACTTAAAAGTGTAATTGATTAGTTCATGCAAATTGCTGCTAAGGACCTTTTTAATGATTTTTTTTTTCCTCTCCCAGATGTCCAGAGCCCAGGCAGCACTTAAAGAACAAGTCAGGCTACCACCTGAAATGGCCATAGGTTGTTAGTATTTCCAATGGCATTTTTGTCATTGCAAGTCACATCTGTCATTTGTCAGTGAGTTAAAAGACAATATTTTTACTGCCTCTGACAAAGGAGTTGCAATTCAGGCTCCCTGGCTATGTTCACACTGCCTGGAATGGCAGACCTCATGTGTCTGAGCTCGTTCCTGTGAGGGTTCAGGTCTTCTCTGCCAGCAGGCTACAGAGGACAGCCAGTGTGTAGAGCAGCATGGCTGGCCAGGCTGTTGGGCCTGAGTGTGAACTGGGAACTTTGTGTAAATGTGATGATACAGACAAAGCCTTCTGAACTTTTGTCATCTTCTCTGACATCTCTTTGCCTCCAGGGCTCACCTTTAGATCCCTAAAGGGAGCTGTAAGATAACAAGTGAACAAATTAACCTCTGCTTATCCCAGGAAGCTGTAGAGCTGCCCATACAAACTGTTTTACACCATTTTCTTATCTTCTTCCTTTCTTTTATCTGCTTATGTTTATACTTTGAACACCTTGAGGGTGTCTGTTGCCTAGTAGGGCACAACAGGCTTGGAAACGTACCTTTAGCATAGTAAATAATACCCTTATCTGTCTCTCAATGCTTACTTCATGCTGAACACAGCTCAGCTGATTCAGAGCTCCAGTCTCTCCTAACAACCATATTGATGTGATTAGCACTGCCACTTCTGCCTGCTGTGTGGTGTTGTACTGACTGTGCACTTTTGGTGACTAATCAAGGATCTTAATGATGAAGAGATCAAAGGTAACTGGGGATAGGAGACTCACATATGAGTGCTTCTGCCCTCCCTAGTTCAGAACCTTTCAAACAACGTTAACCAGAAAAAAAAAAAAAAAAAAAAAAAAGGAGTGGGGAGAGGGCAGAGAGCAGAAACATATGCACACACAAAAACAGCAGCCAAAAAAAAAACCACCAAACCACCCATACCATAGGTGCCCAGCTGTCAACTAGGTATTTCTGCTGTTTAACATCTGTGCAGCACAAAAAAAGGAAGTCACAGGTGTAACTGGGAACAGGATGAAGCCCAGTGCACGTGGTTTGAGGAAAGTTACCTGGATGGAATTTTTTGGACCCCATTTGCTACACTTCTGTCTTCAACCAGCTGTGATTTATATGTAAAAAATAGCATTTCAGTAAAAAGGTGTGGAGGGAAATATAATAAGTATAGGGGTGAGCAGACAGCAGAGGAACTTTACCATCAGTCTCATGCAGACTTTCTGGGCTAGCATCTGATCTCCTTGCTTGTGCTGAGTACTACTTTACTCTCCAAATAGTCCCACGGAAATCCAGTGAACTGCCTATAAAGTTGTAATATTTGTGAGCAGCACATCAGTTTCTGGCCCTTAGGTTTCATTCTTTTTAACTTGATGTGCCAGTTAAAAATCTTCTTGTAGCAGCAGCTTGGATTTTATCACAAATGAATATTCTCATAACAGCCTTTTAAAATGCATGGGGGAACTTTTCAGACATAAACTTTAAGTCAGAAGAACAGTGCAGCACTGTACATATGGCCTTTCTCATTGTATCACATTGAGCACTAATTGGCCAGGACATTTGCCTACCACAGAGTGCTTCTACGTGGGCTTTTTTTCTCCGTGATTTATTTACTAAATGAATTAAAAACCCAGAGCTGAACGGGAACTCTGTGAGTTCAGAGCTTTTGCAACTCAGACAATTCTCAGGCTGAAAATGAGCGTAGGAGCCTAAATTTGGGAAGGGATTCTTGAAGTCTTGCTCCGGTATTTCTAAGTGTTAGACAGTTAATGAATACTTAACATATAAAGTACAGCTGCCTTTGCAGATAATTTCCCTGCCAACAGTGGTTGGAATTCAAGCCCCACTTCTGCCCCAGAAATACTCTGCAGGTCTGGAAAGGGGAGCAAATCCATGAGACTGAAGAGGATAAATTGGTTTTGTTCATGTCCAAAAGGTATCTTCTTTTTTGCTCCTGAATCTGACAGAGTGTTTTCCTAGTCTAACAATAAAAAGCTGCATGTCATAGGAACAGAAAATGCAAGGAAAAGAAGAATTTAGGTGTAGTTAGAACTGGATTGAATCATAACAACATGAGGTTGTTATGATTTATGTTATGTTATGTTTTATGAGGTTGGTCTTCCTTTTTTTTTTTTTTTTTTAATGAGTGTATAGCTATAAGCCTTTCTTGTTTTTAGTTTCAAAATGAAACAAAAAGGGAAAGAGGAAAAAAAAACCACAAAACATTTTTCAAGTTATTTTGCCACTACTAAATGTAGGGGTGACATGGAATCCCAAATTAAATTTGGATTCCCTGAGGTTTCTAGCCTATACTTACGGAGCTAAGAGGTCTGAATTGCCACATTTGTATTAGCACTCAGAAGTCTTTGACTTCTTCATTCCAGAGTACCTCAGTGTTAGGATTGGTCTCTTTGTCTCCACAGCCACATCTCTACATTGTGCTGTGGAGCTTGTGACCACTGTGTGATTTAAAAAAATATATATGTTTGCTATTGTTTTCTCAACATCTTCTAAACAAAATGAGTATGTGGCATGCTGAATATGTGTATGCCAGTGTGATGAGAAAATTGACAAAGGTAGGTAGAGAATGAAGCTGCTTTCCCATGAAGAGAGGGAATTGCTAGCATTGGCTTACACTTTAAAATTCCTTTGTGCCAGCCCTTTAAACAGAAGGATGAAGTCATTTAATGGGTAACCAGTAGTGCTATATTTTAACTTTTTAACACATTTGATGAGAAATGAGTTTACCAGATTAGTAAAATGTACAGTAGGCCCAACTATGGAAATAATTGTATTTGTCTCTTACAAACTAATTTTTGTTATCACGTATATTTTTAAGGGTCTTAAGAGTTTGCTACAAAAAGAGGTTTACTTGCTTATATGCTGCTGCAGTAGTAACTGTATAATGCAAAGGATGTCAAGTCACGGCAGGAAAATCTGTGTTAAACAAAATACTTGAAAGTTAATTTTACAAACTACTCAACACTAGCAAGGAAATGAGCACTGTAAGGTAGCCCCTCGTCCTTCCTTTAACCAGTACATTTTTCTTCTCATGCAAATCTTGATTCCAGATAGCATATCTGCTGTCAATAAGACAATGACATTAATCACTCAAGTATGTGTCTAAGCATTGTCCAAATTGGAACCCAAGATCTAGTGGAGCAGCTAGGGACTTCTATTAAAATAATCTTCCCATTTCCTCGGTGGGACTATTTTTCACTTACATTGAATTTACAGAAGTGCAGAAATTGTAAGATTTTTCTTTTGAGACATGAAAGAAAACTCTTTTTGTGGAAGAAGGAATTGTGTGTGCTACAGAAGTGCTTGGATGCAAAAGGGAGCCAGAATTAAATGACAACAGAACTGCTACTGCTCTCAGGCAAGGAGCAGACCCACTTAAATTGCAGATTACCGATGCTCAGGAATAAGCCTGACCTGTGTTTAAATAGACTAACATTCTCTCCCACATCTCCACCTTAAGATCACCTTGATCTCACAGTCCATTCTTAGAGATAAAAACGAGATGGCCAAAGCAGTCTTGTTTTCAAAGTAACTCTACAGTCAAATCGTTTAGGCGTTGTTATAGACTGCTTCTTATAGTGTGTCTCTTGTGACCGTGTGCAGGTCAGTGTTAAGTGATGCCTGCCTCTGTGTTTTGGGAAAAAAAAGAAAAAAAAAAAAAGTGACTTTGCTTTGCAGGAATATATATGCTGTGTGTGTGATGAATTTGTGCCTTTTATAACTGTAGCATTTTCTCAAGTGCCTCTGTGGTGACTGTCTCCATTGGGTTACATCTTAAGTTCCCTTTTCAATTGTCTCTGCAGATATTTTTATCTGACAGCTGTGAACCTTTTTTTAACCTTAATTAGAATCAATAAATATTGTCATGTCACTTTACTGTTTGAGGTGTTTATGTTGTGGATACAGAACCTCCCTATCGATTTGGTTGTGATGGTGAATACTATTTAGTAAAACAGCATTTCACATTTCATACCGAAGACAGTGAGATATCTTTAACTCTGTGAAGGAGAACAACATTTGGCAGTAATTGTTCTTAACATATAGGTGGCCAGCAGTCTTACACTGAAGAAGTATTTTTTATTGCTATAGGTGGGTTTGGAGTGTCTCCATCTGAACATGGGGAGAAACAGACCTTGTACCAAATACTATGTGGTGTAAATGTAAAAAAACTGGAAGGAAAGATAGGCAAAAAACATTGCCTTAATTTCATCCAGCAGCTCAGTATCAGTGCTAGAGAGAGAATCATTTCCCAGCTGCAGTACAGCTCTTCATTTACCAGGACACAAATGAGGAGGGGCACATTTTGTAGCTGATGATAGGAGTCAAGAGTGGGAGGTACACAGCTGTAACTGAGCAACAAAGATGGCCTTGGGAAGGGACCTGTGCTTCACCAAAAGGTTGTCTATGAATACTGGAAAAAGCTTAACCATCCACATGAAAAACACATTGAAAGCATGCAGTGCTCTGTGTATGGGCTGAACTGTCAGTATTACTGACAAGTTATATAGGAACACCATGAAAGCAAATGTCCTGCACTAATCCACTGTATGCTTTATAAAGCAAATGTCTGCAAATAAATGCATTTCACGGGCCCTCAAAATGGTTAGCAAATGGTTGTGACTACAACATCACTGCCTTGGATCAAATTTAAACTCCTTCTTTAACTCTTTGCTCAAATGTATCCAGATTAATACAAAAGTATGTTTTTTGTAACATCTACGGCAGATACTAATATGGTTTCCTGAGAAACCAATTTAAAATCTCACTCATTGCTTAGGAGAGGATAGAACAGCTACATGTTTGAAAATGATTTTACCAAACCATCCAAAACTTACTTTTAGTATGAGAATTGAGGTTTGGTCTTGGTGGCCATTCTCTGCATGTGGAAGGGGAGAGATGGACTCCTTGCCTGGCAGCTCAGCCCATGCAAGGCTGGAGGAGGCCTATGAACACATCCTGTTCTTGCTCTCGGTGGAGGAGGACACCTAAATGGACCAGGTTTCCGGCTTCAGTATCTTGGTTCTACACTTCAAATACATGGGAACATGGAATGAAATCAGTATAGGAGAAGGATTTTATACCCAATATGTGTGTTTCACTTGCTCTGCAAAGATATTAATAACAGCTTTAGTTATTTTCAAGGAATATGTGATAACTACTCACCTAGAGAGCAATTCAGGAGCCGAAACAGTTGCCTGGTGATGTTTAGACATCTGAGGGCACCTTTTCTGGCCTCCAGCTGCTTCCTCAAAAGGCCGCAGGTCTTGCTGAGGCCTTGTGCCATCAACCAGCCATGTGCAGGTGGCACAGATGTGCTATGGATATAAAGTAAGGCAGCTTCTACGTTCCACCAAATGCTGATGACAATTAGGCACTTAAATGCTTCGTTGGGATATTTAGCTGGGGAGAAATGCAAACAGGAATAATGTAGGTGCTGTGAAGCTTCTGTGATCCCAGTTAATGAACTGAATGTTAAGAGGTAGCTGCATATGCAGGATGTTAACACATAGCTACCCTCTGTAGAAAGGTTATACAATGATTTTGTTGGTCATTGGAAAGAAAAATAAAGGCATGGTATTCCAGTAAGCTAGGGTGTTTGTGGTGCTTGCTAGAAAAGCCATCAGTAGCTAAGTGCTAAGATAAGCTGTAAAAAAATACAACCGTGTAACAGGATTTGTAACTGATTTCCATTTGCATGATTTATACAGACAGCAGCAATAACCTATTCTGCAGCTGGACTAAGAAAAGCTCAAAAAAGAATTTTAAATAGCTCTGATAAATTGTAAAACATACATTAAAGATCTTGTCCATTGGGTCTTTACTTGGCATCATGCTAGCTCATCCCAGCTTTCTATTCTTCCTGGCACTGCTGAAAGAGGTAAACAATTGTTTTGAGCTTTTGCATCCACTGTAGGTTAACATCAGTCTTGCTGTGTTTTGACAGAATGTGAGAGAGACCTTTTCTGTTTTAGAAGTGATGAGCTGTTAGCTTTTACTCAGGTTTGTTTTTTGCTGTGCACATGGAATTTTCTGTTAGGAATTTTTACAGTCACTTTGTAGTGGAACAGCCCCAGTGAAATAATTACTACTCATCCAGCTCTATTTCATCTGGTGTCATCAGGTTCTGCAGACTCCAGCCCCATCTTTGCAGGGGAAAAAGTCTCATCTGAGTCCAAGTGATCTGTTTATTTGACCTCTGGCAGAGTGGGGCAGGGCAAATGCAGCCCAGCCTCACCTGCATGTGGCCATATTGTCATTGAAAGCCAATGGTAACTTTTCAGGGTCTCGCTGGTGCCATTTCTGTAGCACAGAAGAGACTTGAAGAAGTGCTTGAGGACATGGTACCCAGCAGAAACAGCAGCCTTGGGCTCATTGGGTTTGTCAAATGGCTGCTGTCTAATGGCATTCAACACTGCGATCAAATATGCTCCAATGCTTAGGTGGGAATGAAGGATAAAAAGGAAAGGTATTAATAATGCACTGAGGCATCCTTGTCAGCTCTCAGGCTGTTCACCAACAATTTGCATATGCTCCAAGTTGTAAGAAAACACTTTGCACAGCAGTGTTGCATTTAGCAGAAATTACATTATAATTTCAGATGTGGAAACTACTATTCCAGATCCGAACTCCATTGGGCTGCGCAGTCATTATCTGAAACAATTGAAATGCGTGCTTGCACCTCATCAAAATCAAGGAGAGACGTTGCTCCAGCCTGGGCACCCTCAAACAGAATGAGAATATTAAACTAAATTAGAAAGTGTGTTATTTCCCCACTTCTTTATGAGCTGGAGCTTGGCCAGAGTGCTTTCCAGAGGTGGCATATTTGAGCCACTGTCTCTGTCTATCCTGATAAAGTGCACTGCCCCGAAGTGATCCCTTCTCAGCAGAGGGGAGTGTTCAGATACATTTAGATCCGTGTTCATGCTTTTATTCCAGCTCCTTCACGCTGATGAGCAGCCGCAAAGACATAAACGTCCCCTTTTGGGGAAGCCTTGAAGCTGGGGACCACTTGCATCCCTTTCCTTCAGTGTTTTGATTCCAGAGTTTTTGGTTACCCAACAGGACTTGTGAGAACATGCACAGAAACACCCACTGAGACCTTTCTGCTAAGCAAAGCTCCCAGATTTTCCTGTGAGGTGACAAACCGATGGGGTTATGCAGCCACCAGATGGCAGCCTTGATTTCAGCCTCGGCGGCTGCCAGCCTTCAGCACAGCTGTCTGCAGCTGGTGCTCATCAGGAGCCGTCCCCCTCAAACGCCAGGCTCTGCCTCCTCTCATTCACCGGATTTAGCTCATATTTGGATGAAAATGATGGCGTTCAGGCTATAATTGAAGGAGTTTTCGAGTGAATGGTCTGGACGTGGAAAGCCAAACCCCAGCACAAGCGGTAATTACGTCCTTTGCTTCCTTGTCAGTCCTAGAGGGAGGATGAGCTACCTGTCCTGCTGCACTGCACATGGTGGTGGAGCTTTTTCCTTTCCTAAGTCATGTGTTCTTCCTTGGGAAACACTTTTTTCCTTGCTACTCCTACATGTCCCAGGCTAGTCTGTCTCTACTATGTAAGAAAAAGCCAAAAGAAAATTTTAAAAAATGTAAAAAGAGGCAGACAGAGAACGGAAGCTCAGAAGCCAAGAGCTACCAAAAAAAAAAAAAAAAAAAAAAAAAAAAAAAAAAAAAAAGCAGAACCACAAATGCAACTGGAGCTGAAAACATTGATTGCCAAGTGCAGGGGCTGAGTGGGAAAATAAAAAGTTACAGTTCACTAACAGCGAGCATATTTAATTTCCCCTTCTGGATTTTCACCAAGATGAAATTTGCTTTCTCTGTGTGTGTATGTGGAAAGTGACTCTTGCAAGGAACATTTACAAGCAAAATTGGTTGTTTCAAACAGCTTTGTGGAAGAGAAACAGTCCAAAAGGAAAAAGTGAAAAACCAACATAGATTATTTTTCCACAGAAAAGGACTCTCTGGATTTGTACATTTTTCTATTTGTTGGTGCTGCAGTTAGGAAATTGGAGCTGTGTTCTGTATAAAGCACATATAACCAGCATCCAGCTTGCCCATCGCTTGGTTTGTAGCCAGAGGAAAGCACTTGGTGTTAAGCAGCAAACCTGGTCAATAGGCCACAGGAACAGTGGCCAGAAACCTGCATGTTATGAGTGGGTAACATTGGGCACAGCCCTCTGGGCAGTATTTTTGTTCAAATATATAATGGTAATTCATGCCTACAGTTGGAGGTGTATTTGATCTGGGGAAGAAAGATCAAACAGCATGAAACTGGAGACTGGATCAAACACGAACCGGAAAGTCTCTCTGATGAATGACTATCAAAGAGACCAGGCTGAAGGCTGCAAGCACTTGCTTGTCCAGCCTGGTGTATAGACCTGGATGTGCTGCGTTTAGCATCCTGGGTGAAGGTGGGCAGACCTCCTCCTTGCCCCGTACAATGAGCATGGCTAGAGGGATGCTGCTCACACTGGTGGGAGGTTCACGTCCCCTGAGCTGAAGCACACAGCCCCTGAAATCCAGCGCTTCATCCTTGCGAAGCTGGCACCTTCCCAGACCTCTCACACGGTGGGATTCCAGCCTCACAGGTCCAAGTTGCCAGCCCATCCTGCTCGGAGCTCCCCAGCCTCATGGGGCTGGTTGGTGGCAGCCTGGGAGGGGATGGTGAGGCCACCCTGCACAGGCAGGAGCTGCAGCCAAGAGGAGCAGGACTGAAAGGAGGTGGGCAGCAAGAGGTGGTTGGTGGCTTGCATGGGAGAGCTGGAGACTGACACACAAACTGGGGGTCCTTGCACCCTTAGAAATGTGCAAACGCAATTTAGTTCCCACACAGGTGCTTTGTGTGCACCTTGGCTGCCCCATCT